ACAGACAAATCTGATTTCCATTATTTCAATGGCATTATTCTATCAGCGGATCAAGGGAATGCCATGGACATGGTATATCTGACTTCAGTAAAGAATTTGACAAAATCTCTCATAAGCTTTTAAAGTGCATGGTAGTATAATTAGGTAGATTCAGGGTTGTTTGGATGAAGGCAATAGAAGAAAGTTGATTAATAAACTATTGGGATCAACCTAGAAGGTTGTTGTCATTTGGTAGTGTTCAGTCGTGCCTGACTCATCGTGACCCCATTTGGGGTTTTCTTGGCAAAGATATGGAGTGGTTTGCCATTTCCTTCTCCAGTTCCTTTGACAGATGAGGAAACTGAGGCAAACACGGTTAAGTGACTTGCGCAGGGTCACACAGCTAGTAAGTATCTGAGGCCTGATTTGAACTCAGGAAGACAAGTCTTCCTGATTCCAGGCCTGGCCCTCTATACACTGTGCCACCTAGCTCCTTTCAAAACCTATAAAGAGGAGGCTTTTATTGGAGTATGCCAAGGATCTGTCCTCGGCTTTTTTCTGTTCAACATTTTATCAGTGACTTAGATAAAGAAATAAATGATATTTGCTGCTAAGCAGCAAATTGCCAATGACACAAAACTCAGAGAGAATAACTAGCAGAGTGAATGACAGAAACAGGATCCAAAATTTTTTTGACAGGCTGGAATGATGGGGTTGAAGCCAAGAAAATTATAGCAAGAAGTGTAAAGTGCAGGGCAGCTAGGTGGCACAGTGGATACAGCACTGGGCCTAGAGTCAGGAAGACCTGAGTTCAAATCTATCCTCAGACACTTACTAGCTGTGTGACCCTGGACAAGTCACTTAACCCTGCTTGCCCCAGTTTCCTCATCTGTCAAATGAGCTGGAGAAGGAAATGGCAAACCACTCCAGTATCTTTGCCAAGCAAACCCCAAATGGGATCACAAAGAGTCAGACACGACTAAAACGACTCAACAGAAACAAAAGTGTAAAGTCCTACTCTTGGCTTTAAAAAACTAACTCTTTGTGCTGGGTAACACGGGATTAGCTAGAAAAGAGTTCATTTTTAAAAAGGCCTAGAGGTTCCACTGGAATTTCTTGTTTCACATGAATTAACATGGTGATGTGGTGCTCAAAAGAAGAGAGATTTCTGGCAATGTTAATAGAAGTACAGAGTACAGGGGGCAGCTGGGTGGCATAGTGAATAGAGCACCGGCCCTGGAGTCAGGAGGATCTGAGTTCAAATCTGACCTCAGACACTTGACACTTACTAGCTGTGTGACCCTGAGCAAGTCACTTAACCCCATTGCCTAGTCAAAAAAAAAAAAAAAAAGAGTACAGAACAAGGGAAGTGATGGTTCTGTTGTGCCGGGCCTGAAATATTTTGGCTAGTTCTGAGTACCACCATATGAAAAGGATACCCACATGCTAGAGTGTATCCACAGGAAGGAGATTATTATGAAAAAGTGACTGGAAACCATGTCACAGGACAACTGGATAAAGCAGCTGGAGTTGTTTAGCCTGGAAAAGAGAAGGCTTGGGGAGGGGAGAACAGGAGGGAGAGGGGGACACGGCAGCTGTCTTGGAGGGGGCACTCATGAGTCAGGTGTTTATAAATTGAATATTACTTTGATCATTCCTCAATTTGTACAGTCTTAATCTTTATTATTAAGGTAATTAGATGTAGCTCACAATTTTAAACTTTGAAAGAAAAGTGCTTTTTAATGGTTATTAAATATGTATTGAATTAGGCAGTAGCTCATGCTTACTTACATAGTACTTTCCTCACAATGTGCTGTTCTCTGAGAGAACCTGAGTTCTCTAAGAGAAGGAATTGCATCATTCTTTGTAATTGTATCCCAGCACCCAGCACATGGGGGACCCATAAGCGCTTGTTGGCTGAACAAATAAGGTGGGTAGTGTCAGTTTTATCACACCCATGTTACTGGATATACTTAGAAGAAATGCCATAATCTAATGAGGAGCTGTGTAAATAAAAAGTAAATATAAGTCACTACCAAGGTGACAATCAATTAATATGTCATTGCCAGTATTCACAAGTAGAAGCCAGTACCAGGAGAATCAACACAAGATTCACACCACCATTACTTTTCCTCTCACCTGACTGTTTAGACCCTCCCTACTCTGGATCCCTGCATATTCTGGATTCTGGATATGTTCATTCCTCTCTCCTCACTACTTTGACCCAACCTCCCAAACCCCCTCCCAAGAAATATCATAATCCAAGAGATCCTGAGACTCAAGTGGCTTTTGGACAGGAAGCATGGACTTAGGATAAAGTAGACCTGGATTCAAATCCTGCCTCTGACCCCTACTAGCTGGGTGAAGGTGGGCAACTCATTTAACCTCGCTTAAGCCTCAGTTTCCTTATCTGTAAAAATGGGGATGCTAATACCTGTAGTATTAGGGGCAGCTAGGAGGAACAGTGGAGAGAGTGCTAGGCTTGGAGTCAGGAAGATTCCTATGTGACCCTAGGCAAGTCATTTCACCTTGTTTGCCTCAGTTTCCTCATTTGTAAAATGAACTGGAGAAAGAAATGGCAAACTACTCCAATATCTTTGCCAAGAAAACCCCAAGTGGGGTCACAAAGAACTGGACATGACTGAAAAATGACTGGACAACAATAACAATATGTACAGTATGTTCCTCCCAGGGTTGTTGTGAGGATCAAATGAGATGATATATAGAAAGTGCTTTGCAAACTTTAAAGCACAATGCAAGTGACATTATGACTACTATTCTGAGGCCATGGAAAGGGTTATAGGTTATCAAGAAATAGATCATCAGGCAATGCAGAGTCTGAAATTTCATCTGTGATCTGAGGGGAGAGGAGAGGAGAGGAATGGGAATGAGAGGGAATTTGGGGAGAGAAAGACAAGGACACAGAAGAGAAACACAGAGACAGACAGAGAGCAAGACAGAGAGAGAGGAAAACTGGACAGGCATTATCATTCTACTTCTCCTTGTGGCTTTACTTATTCCTCCTAAACTTGTTTTCTCTTTTATTAATAACACCTTCCAGTCACTCTACCCTCTCTGCTTTCCCAGTCTGTTATCCCTGTTCTGGCCTTAATTTTCTCCATCTGAAACCTTCACCCAGTCATGAACCAGTCTAGTTTTATCCTGTCCTCCATCCTTGAATCCCTTGCCCTCTTGTCCCACCTCTATTCATTTCTTTCTAAATCCCAACCCTGGATTGGCGCCCACCATTTGCCTTTGCTAACCATGTTGACTGGGTCCACTACAAATTTATGTTATCCAATCTTGACTGCTGCACACTGATCCTTTGACTTTTGTCTGAGTAATCCTTGATTGTTTTATATATATCTTATCAGTTACATAAATTCCCTTCTTTCCTCAACCTACTACCTACATCTCCCCTGTCCTTTCCCCTCTCAGCTAAAGTCCTACTCCATATTTTACTGAAAAATAATTGAGGCCATCTGTGGAAAAACTTCCCTCACTCCCCAATTCTACACCTCAGATCCCCTCTTTATCCCTCCATTCTGTCTTACTCTGCTCTAATCTCAGAGGAAAAGGTGGCCCTTCTCCTTGCCAACACTGACCCCTCCACTTGTGCCCTGGATCTCAGTGCTTCTTTTTCTTCTATCATATGAAAAATAACCACTGCCCTCAGGGAGTTTATGTTTTACATGGAGCATTTTCCAACACTGACTGTTGATAACAAACCTGTCTCCCCACACCAGTGTGACCACAAGAGAGACAAGCATAGAAGTCTGCAGCCATCCATATCCTAGTTGAGCCACTCAGAGTCCCAAACCCTCTAAAGATAGCAACATACAGGGTTTCTTGATCGTGTCCCAATAGAGACAGAAAAATTGATACCCCCTCTGCCTCAGTTACTGAAACAGCTGGGGTGGGGGCAAGACAGGAGGTCCTCTGATCCTTCTCAATAGCACTGTAGTTCAAAGCCACAATGACAATAGTGTCTGTTGTCAAAGAGGACAGGAATCTAGCCTCAACTGTCAGCTGTCATTGGCACTATTACACCAATCAATCAGGAAGTATTTCTTGAACTCCTACTATGTGCCATACATTGGACTAGGACAGTTCCAGCAGCTAGGTTCTTCAGATACAAACACAGAGAATAAAAATGTCCCTACCTACAATGAGTTTATATTCGAATTGAGGAGACAACAAGCACATATAAATTATATATGACAGCATAACATAAAGTAAATAAATACAAAGAGGCATCTAGGTGGCTCAATGGATAGAGTACTAGATTTGGAGTCAAGAAGATTTCATCTTCCTGGGTTCAAATCTGGCCTCAGACACTAGCTGAGTGACCCTGGGCAAGTCACTTAACCCTGTTTACTTCAGTTTCCTCCTCTGTAAAATGAATTAGAGAAGGAAATGGCAAACCCACTCCAGTATCTTTGCCAAGAAAACCTCAAATGGGGTCACAAAGAGTTGGACACAAGTAACAAAATACTATTGGTCAGACATGAGCATTTCTCTCTCTGGCTCTCCCAGTAAGCCAAACTTTGGAACAGGACTAAGGGAGTCATGCGTTGTATTGGTTTCTTCCTTACTGGCAGTTTTCTATGTTGTAGCTAGGCTTGGCACCTCCCCATTGACTGGGTACCAGCATTTTGACAAGGGCAGATCGATGACAACAAACCTTCCCAATACGGTCTAGGCAGCATGTTCAACATAACAACTATGCGAGGCTCTTCTTATCATCCTGAGGGCAAGTCTTAAGAACCACAGACGTAACACAGAGCTTCACCTCAAAACCCAGTTTTCCTGAAAATAGCCCATCTTGTGCTAAGGCCTAGGAAGGGCAGATGCTGAAGATGAAATAAGGTGGGGGCAGGGGGAGGCACCAAAGAGTTGTAAAAAAGGGACATCCAAGCAAAGACTGCAGAAAGAGTCTCATACTCAATGTGCTTCTACTGGAGAGTGTAACCAACATGTGGAAAACTCCCTATGGGTTCTGTACCGCGTTTTTGCTATAGAGGTGGGTGTTCTCCTTTATCAGTACAATTGTTCGAGGTGTTCGGCTGTCCGACGTGCCTTGCCGGCATGCCAGTTTCCACCAGCATCATTCCTCTGGTATCAGCATCTCTAGCAATAACACCAAATCCTCTAGGGGTAGCCTGTGAAACAGTAGTCTTCAAAACAGAGGGAACACTACTTAAAATCCCATCCTCCGCAGCTGACTCAAGCTACAGTCTGATGGTGTGGGCTGCCGTCCCTCGCTCCTAGAAACGGAACCTAAGAGTTGGAAGGGAATTCAGAAATTGTCTAGTGCCTAGTCCAACACTCAGGGCAGCTAGGTGGCATAATGTTGTTGTACCTGGAATCAGAAAGACCTGAGTTCAAATCCTGCCCCAGATGCTTAGTAGCTATGTCATTCTGGGCAAGTCACTTAGCCCCTTTAACATCTGTTTCCTGATCTATAACAATAATCTATTACAACATAATATGATAATAATAATAATAATAACACCTCACAGGGTTGTTGTGAGGATCAAATGAGATAGAATATGTCAAACACTTCACAATAGTGTAAAGTGCTATACAAATAATAGTTGTTATTATTATTAAACAGGAATCCCCTCTATAATATGCCTGAAAAGGGTCCAAATGGCATCTGCTTGAAGACTTTTAGTGACAGGCGATGCACCACCCCTGAAGCAACCCACTCTGATTTTGAACTACTGTAATCATTAGGAAGGTTTTTTTTATATTGAACCAAAATCTGCCTCTGGAATTCTCTCCCTTTCTCTTAGTCTGTGATGTCATTGGTCCTCTTCAAAAACGAAGGACACAGGGGCAGCTAGGTGGCGCAGTGGATCGAGTACTGGCCCTGGAGTCAGGAGGGCCTGAGTTCAAATCCAACCTCAGACTAGACACTTGACACTAGCTGTGTGACCCTGGGCAAGTCACTTAACCCCAATTGCCTAAAACAAACAAACGAAAAAAAAAAAAATGAAGGACATGGGCAGCTAGGTGGTGCAGTGGATAGAGTACCAGCCCTGGAGTCAGGAGGACCTGAGTTCAAATCTGGCCTCACACACTTGACACTTACTAGCTGTGTGACCCTGGGCAAGTCACTTAACCCTGATTGCCTAAAAATTAAAAAAAAATTTTTTTAAATGAAGGACGAACAACCACAGTTCCACCATCTAGGGTCAAGCAGAATGTGACTGATCCTTTTCCTCTATGCTAGTCCTTCAACTACATTTTCTTTTCTCCAAGGGAAATATCTTCAGTTCCTTCACCTAATCTTCATACGACATAGTTTCTAGCCCCTTTGCTATCTTGGTCTTCCTCCTGTGGATATAATCCAGCTTATTAATGTTCTTCCTAAAAAGGGGCATTGAGACTATCCCTTCCTTCTGGATATTATGCCTCTCTTAATGTGCACATCAATTCTTTAGACAGACTTGTCACACTGTTGAATCCTATTAAAAGTCACACCCCAAATCTCTTGAAAGCCACACCTCTAATAATAATAGTTATTAAGTATAGCACAGAAGAGAAAGTGGCAATCATTATCTCTTTCATCTCTAACATTACCACAACAGGAAGAACAATTGGTCAAGTGACAAATACCGCTTAAAGACTGAGCTACTCTTTTATTATTTAAGCTTGATCTATGTTTTCATCAATATAGGAAACTCTTGGTTTTAAAAAAAAAATCTTTCTACCAATGCAACTGTTTTGCATTAAAAAAAAATAGACATTACCTGAGTTCAAATCCAGCCTCAGATGCCTGATACTTACGAGCTGTGTGACCTTGGACAAGTCACTTAACCCATATTACCTCACCAAAAAAAAATAGACATTAAAAAAATTTGACAGTGATTTATTAATCAATTTACAACACCAAAGTTGTAGTCAGGAACTGTAGTATTTTGTTAAACAGTCAGAAAAATTCATAGCATTTCTTTTGGCTTTTTTTACAATTAAAAATTTTGAACTTGACAAACATGAAGATTTCATTAATAATCTTTTCTTTCTCTTTTTTTTGGGGGGCAAAATTATTAACACCACCCCATTATTTCCCCTCACAACTCTCCTCCATTAAAAAAAAGAAAGTCTTCCCTTCCAACAAACAAATATATTTAAGCAAAACAAATTCACACATTAGCAGTGTCTGAAAATGTAAGTCCCACCCTGCGCTCTACTACACGGCTTCTCTAGCAAGAGCTAGAAAGCAGGTTTTATCAATCATGCCTCTAGCGCCCTGACTGGTCTTTGAATTGATCACAGCTCTAAAGCTTTCCCAAGGTGTTTTCTTTTATGATGTTGTAGTTATCATAGAAAACATTCTCCTGGCTCTGCTTACTTCATTCTGCATCAATTCATATGAGCCTTCCCAGACTTCTCTGAATTCCTATCTTATAATATTTCTTAAGTTATGGAACCTGGGGCTCAACTATTTGACTATATATTATAACACTATCTTCTTGGTGGAGAGTGATTACCCAATACTCTATGACTCTGGTCTGGTCTGGGTAGAGTTGGCAAGAACTCAAGCAAGAACTGGGAAATAAGATATACAGGCAATAGAGTATAGAAATCTATCCTGCCCTACAGGAAAATTGAAGAGGAAGGGCATAAGAGAAGGGGCAGGGGAGATAGAAGGGAAGGCAGAATAGGGGAAGGAGTATTCAGAATGCATGCCATCTTGGGGTGGGGGGAGGGACGAGATGGGGAGAAAATTTGGAACTCACAATCTTGTGGAAGTGAATGTTGAAAACTAAAAATAAATAAATTAATAAATCTGAAAAAAAAAAAAAAACAAACCTCAGGCAAGAAGAGATCCTATTTTTTTCTGGCTTCCAGCTTTAAGAGAAGACATACCCAGTTCCAGGCTTTCTTCAGGGATAGGCCCTTAGAGAAAGACTCTAAAAAGAAGCCAGAAGAACAAGAATCTTTCCCCTCCCAAGCTCTTGCCAACTTTGCCTCCCTCATCACAGGCAGGTATCAAGTAATCATTCTCCATCACTGAGAAGAATCTCATATAAATGAACTGGAGAGTGACGATAGTCCATTAAAATGTATAGAATTTCAGAGCTCAAAAGAGATAAAGGTATAGTGGACTTGGAGTCAAAGGATCTTGATTTGAATCTTAGAGATTTTCCTAGAGATTTGTCTTAGAGAGTTGCCTAGAGCCCTAAGAGGTTAAGTGACTTGCCTAGGGTCACACAGCCAATATGCAACAGAGACAAGTGAACCCAGGTCTTTTTGTCTCAGAGATCAGCTCTCCATTTACTATAATACCACATTGCTTCTCCTTGGGAAGTAGTAAATCAAAGTTATAACCCCAAACCAGGGACTTTTGTGACCAATTACAGGGACTATTAGGCTGGGATTCAGGATAACAGCAGCACTTAGCACAATGTTAGGTGCATAGTAGGTGCTTAATAAATGCTTTTTTTAAACTTGGTTTTGCCAACTAGTATTAAAAAAAAAAAAAAAGACCTGAGCCATAAAAAAACCATAATCTCCCCAGAACCAAGTAAAAAGTGAGGAAGGTCTCTCTCCCTTGACGTTCTCTTGGATACAATTTTATTTGCATAAAAATGGGGGTTTATTTGGGGAGGCAACCGCTGAAGTCTATATGCTTCCCTCAGGATAACCTCCTTGCTTTCACCACTATGGATCAGGAAATATCAAGAGATAAATTAGGGGATTACCAAGAACACACCAGGTGAAGTGGCCATAGGTTCATCACTTCCAGTTCCAGGAACAAGTTAAGAAAAATAAATTAAGAACGAAAGCTCAACCAACAGTCTTACTGTTAGCTACAACTCTTATTTCCTCTATAAAAAGAGCTAGCAAGCAAGTGATAAGGATTACTAAAGTGAGTCAGCCTGGCACAGGGGGAAAAGAGCTAGCTTTGGAGTCAGAGGAGTAAGTTGGAGGCCCAAACTCTGCCCCTTACTACCAGTGTGGCCTGAGCCTCCACTCCCCATCTGTCAAATGAGCAGCTTGGACTAGATAGCCCCTAAGGTGCGTCCCAGCTTCACATCTGTTATGCTATGACCCTGCTATGTGCTAGGCATTATGAGGGAATTCAAAGTCAAAATGAAAAGCAGTCCCTGTCTTCTTAGAGCTTACATTCTGCTGAGTGATTTTTGTTGTTCAGTCATGTCTGACTCTTCATGACCCCATTTGGGGTTTTCCTTGGCAAAGATACTGGAGTGGTTTGCCATTTCCTTCTCCAGTTCATTTGTCAGATGAGGAAATTGAGGTAAACAGGGTGAAGTGACTTACCCAGGGTCATGCAGATAGTAAGTGTCTGAGGTTGGATTTGAACTCAGGAAGATGAGTCTTCCTGACTCCAGGCTCAGTGTTCTATCCACTGCACCACCTAACTGCTCCTGAGTGATACATTTATACATACGTAAGTGCAAGGTGATCTGAGGAGGGAGTATGTGCTCCCAACTAAGAAGGTATCAGGAGAAATAGGAGGTATAACCTAAGCTGAATCTGGAAGGAAACCAAGGATTTTTAGATTGAAAAATGCCCCCCCCCCATAACCTTCTCCCACCCTCACTTTTCAGCTTCTTCTGTATTGTCTCCCCTGTTAGATTGTAAGTCTCTTGAGGGCAGGGATAGTTCTTCTGCCTTTCTTTGTATCCATTAGCACAATGCCTGGTACATAGTAGGCACTCAATAAATGTGTTCTGGTTGATAGAATGAAGGTGAGGAAGCTGTACATTCTGTGCATGCAGGACCCTGGAGCTCTGAGGGGGGCATGAGGAGCTCTGGAAGCAACACACTTGGCTCCATCTCTTAATAGCTGTGTGACCTTTGGGAGGTCAATTTACCTCTTAGTTTTTTTCATTTGTAAAAGAACAACAAGGATAACACCAGCTAACATTTACATAGTGCTTTATGATTTGTAAAGCACTCTACATGTAATCTCATTTGGTCTAGCGAGAGAGGTTTCCTTATTATTCTCATTTTATAGATGAGAAAATCGAGGCTGAGACAGGTTAAGTGATTTGCCCAGGATCACATAATTAAGGGTCTGAGGCAGAGTTTGAATTCATGCCTCCTGACTCCAAGTGTTACACTCTAGCTCAGAGAGGTGGCCAAAAATGAGGGGTTTGGGCTATATGACCTCTCAGGTCGCATTCTACCATTCCATGAAGCAATGCGTGGCTTCTCTACCTTGAGCTAATAATGTTGAGAACAGAGCCTATAACCACCCCACCCATCAGTACACTGACTACACACTCCCTTATAATGGCTCCACACCAAAATCAACAGTAGACTAATCAACACAGAGGAAACAGTAACAGTTATATAGAGTTTCACTGTTTGTCAAACACCTTCATAGTAACCTCTCTTCTGCTTCTCATTGCAATGCATTAGATAGATAGGGGAAGGGAAGAAGGGAACAAGCATTTAAGGGCCTACTATGTGCTAGGCACAGTCTAGGGGCTTTACAAATATCTCATTGGATAGGCAAGTGAGATGAGATTAGCCCAAGTTTACAAATGAGGAAACTGAGGCATGGGATAGTTAAATGACTTGCTCAAAGCTGGTACATGGAAGAGTTGGATGGAAATTCAAACCCAGATTTTCTGACTCCAAGTCCAGTTCTCTTTTCTACTTCTAATCATGTCTATTATCAATACCCCCGTCCCTGGCAACATTGCAGCCCAAAAGATGACAAGGTGACCAAACAGACACACATCATCACTCAAGGAGGAAAAATAAAAAAGGTAGGCAGGTTAAAGACTTCTTAAATTTAGGTAATAATAAAAGTAAAAATATTGTAGCAATTTGTGGCTTGCAAAGCACTTTCCTTACAATAATAAGGTGGATAGGACAGATATTATAACCTCCATTTTCTAGAAAAGATAAGCAAGGCAAAGAGAATTCAAATGACCAGACCATGGTCACACAGTAAAAGGCAGAACCAGCCCTGGAACCCAGGTCTTTGGACTCTGACATCATTATTTTTTCCATCATTCAATAGGCTTTCCATTCTTCCATCACTGAGACCATTAAAGAAGACCAAATATACATATTTTTGTGATGTCTCCACTCCCCCCCACACCCCCAATTAGTTTGTAAGATCCTTGGTAACAGGATCTTTTGCTTTATATATCTCTATATCTCTACATACACATATTGTATCTCTATATAATAGCTGGCAATTATATTTCACTTTAAGGTTTGCAAAGCACTTTACAAATATTATCTAATTTTATCTTCACAACCCTGGGAGGCAGGTGCTATGATTATTCCTATTTACAGATGAGGAAATAGAGGCAAATAGAAGTTAAGTGACTTGCTTACAGACACACAGCTAGTGACTATCTGAGTCTGGATTTGAACTCAAGTCTTCCTGACTCCAGGTACAGTGTTCTATTCACTCTACCACCTATTATTTGTTGAATTGAAATAGTTTCATTGAACAAGAGACAGTTGCGAACAAGATCCCCATATAAGTCACTGATCTTGCTGTTAAAATGGATGATTCCCCTATACCTTCATATAAATAATAAGTAAAGGCAAAAAATTGGGAGGAATCAATTGCTTGTGGTTGGCCAGTACTAATACCATGTGTCCCAAAAGTCTTAGTGAAGTTTTTAAGGTATTAAAGCTATAATAAATAAATATATGTGATATATAACAAAATGGTAATACTATCTAAATTAATTTACAGATTCAGTACCATACCAATCAAACTGTGAAAGGATTGCTTTATAGCACTAGACAAAATTATAACAAAATTCATCTGGAGGAACAAAATGTCAAGAATTTAAAGGAAAATAAGTTTTAAAAGTGGGAATACAGAGTCCAGTAGTACCACATCTAAAACTATAGTACAAAGCAGTAGTAACCAAAACAAATTGCACTTAATTAATAAAACAGAAAAATCCATCAAAAGAACATTTTCAGTACACAAAATCCATAATAAATCGAACACAACATCATCGTTATTGATAAAATCAAGGACATAAATTCCTGAGGTAATGATTCACTCTTCAACACAAACTTCTGGGAAAAATTAGAAAGTAGTCTGAGAGAAATTAGGATCTCACATCTTATACTACAGTAAGCTTCAAATGGATATAGGATAGATAGATACTAAGGATTATTTATAAACTTAGAGGAGAATGGAAGGAGATACTTTTTATAATTATGGATAGAGAGAGGGTTTGTGATGAAAAAAAAGAGGGATAGAGGATTACAGGACATAAAATATACAATTTTGAGCATATAAAATTCAAAAGGTTTTAAACACATAAAATCAATACAACTAGAATTTTAAGGAAAGCAGTTAACAGAGGAAAATCTTTAGAGTAAATTTCTCTGATAAATGGCTGCGAGCTACAATATATAGGGAATTGATACAACTATATAATAAAAGAGTCATTCTCTAATAGATAAATGGTCAAAGAATACGAACAGGCAATTCTCAAGGGAAGAAATTTAAACTATGAACAATTTTATGAAAAATGTTCCAAATCATTAATAATCAATGTAAATTTAAGCACCTCTGAAGTTCCACCTCACACACATCAGATTGGAAGATATACAGAAAAAAAGGAAAATTATAATTAGAGGGGCTATGGAAGAGGACAGGCAAACCAATGCACTGTTGATGGAACTGTGAGTTGGGTCCAACCTTTCTGGAAAGCAGTTTGGAACTATATCCTCACAGGCGTTACACTGTGCATACCCTTTTGCCTAGAAAAAGCACTACTAGCTATACTCATTTTCCTCGACTATAAAATGGAGATAATAACAGCGTGTACCTCCTGAGGTTGTTGAGAGTATCAAATGAAATGTTTGTAAAGAGTGCCTGGCACGTAGTAGGCACTTAATAAATGTTTGTTCCCTTCCTTTTCCCTTCCCCTTTTCTCCATAAGTACCTCAAACTGAATATTTCCAAAGGAGAAGTCATTCTCGTTCTCCCTAATCCTCTTTTCTTTCCAACTTCCCTAATAGGGAAGGCAAAGGTCACAACGCTCCCAGTTACCCAGAACCACAACTACAGTGTGATTCTCGACTCCTAGCTCTCACATCTACTCCACATAGCCAATATGTCATCAAATCTCATTGTTTCTACCTTCACAATATCTCTGGTAAATGTCCCCTTCTCTCTATTCAAATAACCACCTGCCTGGTTCAAACCCCTATAACCTCTCACCTGGACTGTTGCAATGGCTTAATTGGTCTTCCTACCTCAAGGCTCTGCCCACCACAATCCACTATTCACACAGCAGCAGACAATGTGATTTTTCTAAGGTGGAGGTCTGAATATGCACCAACTCTCCCAAACCCAAAAAACTCCAGTGCTTCCATTTTATGTCCTGAATTAAATTAAATTCATCAATTTATATTTGCTGCTTTTCAACACCTCAACCCTTTCCAATCAGGCTTCTTATAGAGTGTTCCCTTCTATAACTACGATTGAGGCTTCTTGGACTGCTTGCTGTTGCTGACATATGATTCGTGAATTCCCTTCTCCACGGCCTTGTAGGAAATATTACCAATGCCTGGGAGACTTTCTCGTTTCACTTCCATTTCCTGGCTTCCAAGATCCAGCTAAAGCTCCACCTTCTGCAGTCTATACAAGTAACTCTACAGGGGCACCAAAAAACCCAGCAAATAATTCCTTCCCTACTAAGTAGAAACCTCATTAACATCACAATTCTATTATTTCTACAGGGAGCATTGTTGCAGGAGGTTCAACCATTTCCATCAGCACTTACACTGTTTCTGGATCAACAACACAAACTTCCCCAGCTGTTTCCAGTCAGACTACACAGAGCATCACTTCTGTGTCAGGCACTAGTGAAGAGCCAGGAACCTCCAAGACCACAGAAAGTAAGGGGACAACACCAACATCAGCATTAACAGCCTCTTCTGCCAGCTCCTCTCCTCTGACAACACCTGAATACACAA